TTCCGGTCTGAAACGTTCCGTTCTGAAGCGTTCCGGTCTGAGACGTTCTGGTCTGAAGCGTTCCGGTCTGAAGCGTTCCGGTCTGAAACGCTCCGGTCTGAAGCGTTCCGGTCTGAGTCGTTCCGGTCTGAGACGTTCCGGTCTGAAACGTTCCGGTCTGAAGCGTTCCGGTCTGAAACGCTCCGGTCTGAAACGTTCCGGTCTGAAACGCTCCGGTCTGAAGTGTTCCGGTCTGAAGCGTTCCGGTCTGAAGAGTTCCGGTCTGAGACGTTCCGGTCTGAAACGCTCCGGTCTGAAACGTTCCGATCTGAAACGCTCCGGTCTGAAACGCTCCGGTCTGAAACGTTCCGGTCTGAAGCGTTCCGGTCTGAAGCGTTCCGGTCTGAGACGTTCCGGTCTGAAACGCTCCGGTCTGAGACGTTCCGGTCTGAAACGTTCCGATCTGAAACGTTCCGGTCTGAAGCGTTCCGGTCTGAAACGCTCCGGTCTGAGACGTTCCGGTCTGAAGCGTTCCGGTCTGAGACGTTCCGATCTGAAACGTTCCGGTCTGAAGAGTTCCGGTCTGAAGAGTTCCGGTCTCAAGCGTTCCGGTCTGAAGCGTTCCGGTCTGAAACGCTCCGGTCTGAAGCGTTCCGGTCTGAAACGTTCCGGTCTGAAGAGTTCCGGTCTGAAACGCTCCGGTCTGAAACGCTCCGGTCTGAAACGTTCCGGTCTGAAGCGTTCCGGTCTGAAACGTTCCGGTCTGAAACGTTCCGGTCTTGGCCATACTTCCCCGCCGCGGCGCTAACGCGGCGAGCTAACACCAGGTTGATGTTTCCATGGCGCTGCAGAGCATCGCCATCAGGAACCAGTTTGAGCTGGAATGCTGCTGAACTTCTCGGCCCGGGGCGACGCAGAGCCAGGCTTTGATGAAGACGCCGATGCTTCGTCTCCTGTGAAGATTCCCAGATCCGTCACGCATCCCTCCTGTCGGGCAGAACCGGTTCTGGTTCAGAAACTGGGCCTAATCTGGGCTGGATCTGCATTTTATGAAGGCAAACATGAGAAACGAGGCCGAACTACAGCTGAAACTATTCATCGGTTTAATCATTATTAATCGATCATTTCAATAATTGTCAGCTTATTTAGTAATTGATTAATCACTGAGTGTCTCTAAAAGCAATTTTCTGAAAAATACAACATATCCACAGTAAAACTTAAGCCAAAACTCACAATATATAGATATGTTTTACATTTAATTTAAAAACATCCTGAAGCCTCAGTCAGGGTAAAGGTCAGGGTCAGACTTTAGGCAGTAACATTTTTATTTTCTTATTTTAAAATGTATTAATTGAATTATTGTTTATTCATTCCACCTTTAATGAATAAATGCTAATTTATTGCCAGTTGGTCAGAACAAGTTTGTATATAATTCCTGGTCTTAAAAAGTCTTAAATTGGAGTTAAACCTGCAGGAGTTAATAAAGCTGTTATAAGCTCTAATCAATACCATCTTTAAATCGTTTCTTTATATCAATATTCAGCTCTAACCTGTTTTTAAGGCTAGAATCAGTTTATTGTTGCGTTTATCAGCATCGATAAAATAAAATGGATGAAACTTTCTCTGCTCTGATTGGCTGCTGCTGAGAGACAGGAAGTCAGGTTGTTATTGTGTCTCCCTGCATTCCTTCAGCTCTAACACACTCTGCACCTGTTCATGTCTGTCTGCAGCACACACACAGAGACACACACACACACACAGAGACACACACACACACAGAGACACACACACAGAGACACACACACACAGAGACACACACACACAGAGACACACACACAGAGACACACACACAGAGACACACACACAGAGACAGAGACACACACACAGAGACACACACACACAGAGACACACACACACAGAGACACACACACACACAGAGACACACACACACAGAGACACACACACACAGAGACACACACACACAGACACACACACAGAGACAGAGACACACACACACAGAGACACACACACACAGAGACACACACACACACAGAGACACACACACACAGAGACACACACACACAGAGACACACACACACAGACACACACACACACAGCCTTTCCTCACCAGGCTGACAACACATTCAGTGGGAAAATATGTCTGCAACGCATGAGAGCGGCTCTAAATGTTTTGGGCGGGATCGGGCCTCGGCCCTGTGTGTGTGTGGCGGGTTCGGGTCGGGGAATGTGGTTTTATGATCAGAGTCGGGTTCTCAGAGGAAGTCAGAGTTCATCCCTGATGAAATCTGCAGACGCTGAGTGGAATCAGAGGATTTGCTGCAAGGTGCATTTCAGGAAGGAAGTGGCGACTCGCAGCTGCCGCGGCGGCGAGGGACCCGGTCCAACGGAGGTCTAGTCAAAGCCTCCGGTTGGACTGGACCTCCATCACGACATTTTTCTTCAGTAAATGGAAACTCATGCTGAGCAACGCTGACTGGGTCCATAATTCAGATTTATGTTCAAATATGGGGTCAGAACACAAATATAGTCAATAAGTAAGGTGGTGGCAGCGTCATGCTCTGGGCTGCATGACCAGCCGTGGTGCCACTGCAGCAGGAGCTTAAGAAATATAAACGATTTTAGGAATCTCTTTTTTTACATTTTAATTCATCAAAATGATAAATTATTTTTAATCAGTAATAATTAATGATCCTGATTCTGTTAATAACACTGATTATTATTGATTTTTTGTCTGAAAAGTTGCTGATCTTTAGACCTGATTGGTTTATTTGGTTTCTAATCAATAATTTGGTAATTGATTAATCGTTAGCAGATTTTACTATCTATTTATAAACCACTTATTGCAAAACTTAATCTGTAAATGACATTATGAAAGGCATGCTGTGTTGTTGGATTTTAGGTTCATTTTCTTGTTTGAAAAGTGAATTTAATTTATTTAATTTAATGTGTTTTCCTGGAGAGCCTGCAGGATGAACAGACTTTTGAATAATCCATATTTGTGGTTAAATTCAGCAGCGAACTGCCAGGCTGGCAGCATTGAGGTGAGAAAACGTTGGAGACGTTCGGACAGATAGCAGGACGGAAACATTTATTTTCTTCTTAAATCAAAGAAAAGGGCCATGAGGTTTGTGTTTGACCAAAATGACCCAAAAGGCTTTTTCTGTTTTCAATGCTTCCCTCGCTGACGGTGGGAAGTGTTTCTGGTTTCATCTCCACATGAACATCTGTCTCCCATTCATATGCAAATCCAAACGCAGCGTCTGATGTTTTCATGGAGACCGAAGGTGGATCTGCAGAGAGTTTTCTATTTTTCATCAGGAAGGAGGAGCGAGCAGCGTTCCTCCAGCAGCTGTTCCACAGTTTACGTCACGGAGCGCCAGGCGGCGTCACGGCTCGCCGCTCGCACGCTATGCACATGCTCAGAGCGGCGACCCCCTGCAGAGAGCGTGACCCCGCCTGAGACGCTTCGCTGTGTCTCTGCTTGCAGGAGTCCAGCGTTTAGAACCATGTGAAATCAGAAACAGTTGAATTTGGTGCAGCTATATTATCAATTTTTTGCATATTTCTCTGGTTTTTTTTTTCTAGACGTTTAAAGTCAGTTTTATCAGGTTAAGAACCACGTTACCTTCCTGAACCTGCAGACTGGAAGACAAAGCCTCACAGAAAACAAGATGCTGCTTTAAAGAACTTTAATGTCACTTACATTTAAATTTAGATAATAATTCATCAGAACTCACCAGTAAAACCAGGTTACTTTACACAACATAAATGTTACTTACAAGATGCTTTCCTGAACAAACTGTGGTTTTATACGTGTTACCTACTGGAGCTTAAATGTTGCTTTCTAGAACATTTATGTTACTTCCTGTAACCATAACGTTACTTCCTGTAACCATAACGTTACTTCCTGTAACCATAACATTACTTCCTGTAACCATAACATTACTTCCTGTAACCATAACGTTACTTCCTGTAACCTTTACTTTACTTCCTGTAAACATAACATTACTTCCTGTAACCATAACGTTACTTCCTGTAAACATAACGTTACTTCCTGTAACCATAACGTTACTTCCTGTAACCATAACATTACTTCCTGTAACCATAACGTTACTTCCTGTAACCATAACGTTACTTTCTGTAACCATAACGTTACTTCCTGTAACCATAACGTTACTTCCTGTAAACATAACATTACTTCCTGTAACCATAACGTTACTTCCTGTAAACATAACGTTACTTCCTGTAACCATAACGTTACTTCCTGTAAACATAACGTTACTTCCTGTAACCATAACGTTACTTCCTGTAACCATAACGTTACTTCCTGTAACCATAACGTTACTTCCTGTAAACATAACATTACTTCCTGTAACCATAACGTTACTTCCTGTAACCATAACGTTACTTCCTGTAAACATAACGTTACTTCCTGTAAACATAACGTTACTTCCTGTAACCATAACGTTACTTCCTGTAACCATAACGTTACTTCCTGTAACCATAACGTTACTTCCTGTAAACATAACGTTACTTCCTGTAACCATAACGTTACTTCCTGTAAACATAACGTTACTTCCTGTAAACATAACGTTACTTCCTGTAAACATAACGTTACTTCCTGTAACCATAACGTTACTTCCTGTAACCATAACGTTACTTCCTGTAACCATAACGTTACTTCCTGTAACCATAACGTTACTTCCTGTAACCATAACGTTACTTCCTGCTCTCTGTTCTTAAAGGTTGCTTACTGTGCATCCAGTCAAGTTCGTCTTCACCAAACTGACAGAATCATTTATTCTCCTGTTTTCCACCCAGATGTGTTCAGATTCTCTGGATTAAATCTGTCTTGATCTCTTTGCTTGTATTAAAAAGAAAAGACAAATCAAAGGGACAGTTTTGCATCTTTATTCTGTGTTCCGTTATGAGTAAAAGGTTTGAGGTATTTCTGATGTTTGTGTGAAACTGCTGCTGATTTCAGTTTGTTATTTTTGCAG